CATTATAAGAAAAATCTATGGATGCTTCTCTCTCCTGAACATACGTGCAAAAATCCTTCCCAGCACAGGAGCAGAGCAGATCTAACACCATGCAAAATGAGTACATGTGAACAAGTGGGGCTGGTTGCACACCCGCAAGGCTGGCTGAACATCCAAGTGCTACAACCATCCCATCAGTAGGTTGAAGAAGAACCATGTGTGCACCATCTGAAAAGCCTTTTGACAAGAGATGCTGCTCATTCACGATAAAGACTCATTAAATCAAGAACTGAATGGAACTGATTCAATTTAAAGAAGATTGTACAGAAAACCCACAGCTAGTGTACTTAATGGTGAGAATCCAGAGTCTTTCCACTAAAGTCAGGAGGAAGACAGGATGTCATCTCTCACCATTTTATTTAGCATACTACTAGGAGGTCTAATTAATGTGACAAGAAAAGGAAACAATAGGAAAACAGACTGGCAAGGAAGAAATAAAACTTCTGACTCACAGAGGATATGATGACATACAAAATGCAAAAGGATTCCCAGTAAGTTGGGAGGCTGAGGTAGGAGGATGGCAAGTTCAAGGCCAGCCTCAGCAACTTAACAAGACCCCAGAACAGAATAAAAACAAAAAGGGTTGGAGATGTGGCTCAGTGGGAGAGCATCCTAGGTTCAATCACAATTCAAAAAAAAAGGGGGGGGGGAGAAAAATATTCTAAGCACCCCTGGGTTTAATACCCAGTACCAAAAAGAAAAAAAAAGAATTGACAAAGGAATAAGTGATTATAGGAAGGTTGGCAGATATAAGATTAATATATTAAACTGAATCACTTTTCTCTATATGAATAATGAGCAAATTAATGTGAAAAATACTGTCTACATTAGCACCCTCCCCAAAATGAAATATTTATAAATCTAACAAACTGTGTACAAGAACAATGTGAGAAAACCTACAAAGCTGTGATGAGTGATGAGAACCAAGTAAATAGAGACGAGTCCACATTCACTGGTAGGAAGACTCAGTATTGTCAAGATGTCAGTTCTCTCCAATATCATCTACAGATTCAACCCAATCCCAATAAAACCTAGCAAGTTGTGTTGTGGCTGGACAAACTGATTCTCATGTTTACGTGCAAAGGTAAAAGTCTCCAGGAGGCCGAGGAATTAAGGAAGAAAGGGAGGGGGAGAAGGACGAGGTTGGGACTGACCCTACCTGACTCCGTCATTACAGCAGCATGGTACTGATGGCAGGTGGACAGACAGGTGGGCCCAGGACCGAACCAAGTCCAGACATACAGCCACATCGATGTGTAACCTGACCTTAGGCAAGGGAAGAAAGCAATGCAGTGGAGAGAAGACAGTCTCACAAAAGAGGGGCTGGAACCACTGGACATGTGTGTGCAAAGGCCTCGGTGTGGACCTTACACCTCTGTGAGGATCGTCTCCACGTGGACCAGAGACCTGGAGGCAAAGTGTAGAACTGTACAGCTCCTCCAAGATGATGAGGAGATACAGATGACTTGGGTCCAGTAATGATTGTTTAGTTGAACACCAAAGGCTTCATCCAAGAAAAGGAGCATTGATAAGGCAGACCTGGGAAGCTCAAAGTTTATGCCTTGTAAAAGACATTTTAAGCCAGTTGCAGTGGCACACACCTGTGATCCCAGCAACTCAGGCGGCTGAGGCAGGAGGACCACAAATTCAAGGCCAGCATCAGCAACTTAGTGAGACCCTGTCTCAAAAAATTTTTAAAAGGGCTAGGGATATAGCTCAGTAGTTAAGCACCCCTGGGTTTAATCCCCAGTACGAGAGAGAGAGGGAGAGAGAGAGAGAGAGAGAGAGAGAGAGAGAGAGAGAGAGAGAGAGAGAGAGAAAGAAAAGAAAAAAAGAAAATGACGTTGTGAAGAAGAAAATGAGATGACGAACCACAGACTGGGAGAGAGTCCCTGGAAGACAGATCTAACAAGGGATGACTGCTCAAACTACACAAAGAGCTCCTAAAAGTCAACAAGGGGAAGGCAGCCCAGCTTTTAATTGGGCAAATATCTGAAAAGACACCTGGCCAAGAAGAATGCAGGTAGCACATAGGCATATGAGACTCAAAGCATGTGGAGGGCACTGCAGTGAGATGTCCCCACACACCTATTAGAATGACCCAGATCCAAAACACTGACTGTAGCGAGTGCTGGCAAGGGTGTGGAGCCGCAGGAGCACCTGTTCACTGTGGAGGGGGGCCGAATGTCGCACAGACTTCAGGGACAGTGTGGCATTGTCCTGGAGAGCTAAGTGTACGTGTGGTCTATAGGAATGTCCTTGGCATTTATTTGCCAAGTGGTCTGGAAACCTAGGTGGGTCCACACAGAGACTTGCAGGTGGGTATCCATAGCAGCTCTGGGCATGATTGCCCCACCTTAGAAGCAACCACACTGTCCTTGCACGGGGGGATGTGTAAGCTGGCGCAAGGGACACGCAGTGTTCCCCAGCACAACCAGGCCAGGAACCTTAAAGGCACATTATCAAGTGGAGCATGCTGAAAGGAAAGCTGTGGTTCCCGAGGCATGACACTCAGGGACAGGAAGACCAGGGTGTCAAGGGCTGATGAAAGGGAGGTTCTACTGGAGTACAGAGGATGTTCGAGGTGGAGAAATTGCCCTGCGACACCAAGTTTGTCCAGACCTGCGAAATGTGCATTACCAAGAGAAGCATGCTGTGAACCTCGGGCCCTGGGTGCACGGGTTGTGGCAAAAATCCTCAGGGGCCAGGAGGTTGCTGGTAGTTGGGGAGGTCATGCCTGAGTCAGAGCAGGGAACTCGCTGTGCTCTGCTCAGTTTTGCTGTGACCCTAAAACTGCTCTACAATCGCAAAGTCTTAAAAACATATTACACAGATAGAAAAATGCAGTCAAGATGCTTTGTAGGGCTGGGGTTGTAGCTCAGTGGTAGAGCACTCGCCTAGCACGTATGAGGCCCTGGGTTCGATCCTCAGCACCACATAGAAATAAATAAATAAAATAAAGGTATTGAATCCAACTACACCTAAAAATTAAATATATTTTTTTAAAAGATGCTTTGTAAATGTCTTTCAGTTTTGATCTAGAGAAAATGAAGAACATTGTCACGTACCTGATTCCTTTCAAGAGGACCACTGAAAGGGAAAGTTTGTCGATAAGTCTTCGGTCAAGGGTGAGGCTTATTATTACTTCCTATTTTTGTATGAATAGCAAAACCTTTCTCTTCTCTGAGGAAATGTTTATGACTACTCACTACCTGTTAACACATTCCTGAGATTTACTTTTGTATTCCAAAGCCTTCGTTGTCTTATTTCACTGAACATGAAATTCACCAAACAGCTTTGAATGCTATTCCCATGGTGAGCTGGGGAAAATGCACACTTGAGTTTGAATCTCAGTGCTTCAATTTGATGACAGTCTGTAAGTCATTGAACCTTCCAGCCACGTTGCCTCTGCCCAACAGAATATTGGAAGTGGAAAGTGGGATGGGGTAGAGAGGTCCATGTGGTACACCACGGTCACCACCCGCTCTGCCCACTCCACCAGCCACTTCATTCCTTCGGGTTGTCCCTCACTGGCGCAGGAATGGGTAGCTCATCAAGACTGGCAATGCGGACAGTCCCGAGCTCTGACACTGACCAAGAGAAGCAGGGTACACAGGGAGTGGTCTATCCAAACTGATACCACCAGAGCCAGTTCTTGTCACCCCATCTTTACATGGAAAAGCCCTTCCTGAGAATAAGGCCCATGGGAGGGATTCTGCCCTTCTCCTAGGCCAAGAGAGGCTTGGGCATGCTTCACAAGTCATGTGTTTGCTGGACATCCACAGAATGGATGAAAACATGTCTCACTTCTAAAAGGGAACGTTCTCAGGCAATGGTGTATTTATGTTTTCTTAAGAGACAATAGACGCTGCCTTTTCTAGCTGGCCTTGACCCGTGGACTCAGGTGACACTCCTGCCTCTGCCTCTCATGGGGCTGGCCATGCAGTGTGTAACTGACCCAGTGGGCGAGTGTGTGTTCTAAGGACTTAAGTGTCTTCCGAAGACAACAGACAGGTTTTAATTTCTCCTGCCTACATAGAACCCTGTCCTTGTCACTGAGAGGCCCGTGCCACTCTCCAGGGATCACCTACCAGCACCTGCTGCCCATGAGCTGATTTCTAGGACCTCCGTTTTTGTGGCCCTGGGCTCAGGATGCCAGAGCACCTGTGGTACAGTGGGATCTGGATGTCACTGTTACACCCACTGTACAATCAAGGAAACTGAGGACGAACCAGTCAAATAACCTGACCAGTTTGCCCTCAGAGATGACAGTGTGTGCTGGAAACTGTCTGCTCTCCTGGATCTGTGCTCTGTCCCTTTGACCATGCTGAGTTTTCTGCTCCTTCACTGGTGCCCCATGGCGACAAGGTTCTGTATGACCTGGGGCTTCTGAATTACTTGAGAAAGCCTCTGCCAGAATCTGAGGAAGGAGAGAGGCAGTGGTTTTTCTGACCTTTGGTTTTTGGGGAAGCCATGGCTCTGCCAAAGATGGGGCCCAACCCAGGCAAAATCTGTAAGCCTCTGTGTCTACAGAAGCCCCCACGTGACTTCTCTTGAAACTTTCTGTGGGAAGAGTGCTTCTGTTCCTCATCTAGACCACAGGTCTTTGAGGGTGAGGTACTGTCCTAAATAAAAAGCTGCAGGTGAGTGTGGTAGTGCACACCTGTAACCCCAGCAACTCAGGAGGCTGAAGCAGGAGAACTGCAATTTAGTAAGGCCATAAGCAACTTAGCAAGACCCTGTCTCCGAAGAAAAAAAGGGGGGGGGGGGCTGGGGACATGGCTCAGTGGTAAAGCACCTCTGAGTTCAAACCCTGGTGCAAAAACAAAAAAAGTTGTAAACGCTGGCTGATGGTGCTCAGGTGCTCAGTTATGCATAAGCAGAAGTTGTAACACTATGGGCACGAGGGGCAGGTGGTTCCTGCACAAGCAGTTAGTATCTCAGCACAGATGCATGCTCACCTCATCATTGTATGTTGTGACAGTCACGAACATCCCCAGACCAGGGCCTGGTTCTCGGAAGTCAAGTTTGCCTGTGTCCCACTGCTGGATCTTGAAAGTCCCTGTGTCATAAGCAGGAGGCAGTGACTGTGTGTGCGGAAAGCATCAATAGGTGATGACCTCTAGGTTAGGCCAATCGTCTTTCTCTGTTTGTCTGTGTCATGAGGACCCTTGCCTGGGGCAGCCTCCGCCCTGGGGGCCTGTGTGACCCCGCAGGACAACTCTGGGCAGGCAGCAGGGCTGGGGTGCTGGTCCAGCTGTGGTGACTGGGTGCCTGCTGAGCTGCTGCACCACCCAGCCTTGGTCTCCCACACTGGAGGGTGGGRCAGGCTGTGCCCTGCTCAAACCCCAGGGTGCTGAGGCTGCCAGCCGAAAGCCTGGGAAGGGTCCCACCTACCGGTGAGCCTTGCTGTTCTGCATCCCCGGTGGCCCTCCCGCCTTTATGCTCCCCCACAGCTCTGCCCCAGGCCTGTCCCCAGGACTCCTGCCCAAGCACACACGAGTCCCGGGGTCCCCTCACGGGCCCTGCAGACCTGTTCTTTGAGCATGCATGCTCCGGTGCTCTGCACGGCGAGGGGCTAGAGAGCCTCAGGCATTCCATTCCTCCCTGCGGCCCTCTGGGGTCTGGCAGTGAGCCTAGGGAAGTGTTTGGCTCCATGGTGGGGGCTCAATAAATGTTTGTGGAATAAGTGAAAGGGCCCCACAATTCAGGTTCAACCAGGGACTTGAATGAATGGGTCCCACTCATCCCTCCGCCACTGCAACACAGCGTTCCTGGCATGCTGCCTGAGTTCCCAGAACAGGCCAGGGTGACCCCGCCTGCTTCTGTGGGATCCTCCAGCCTCAGGCACAGGCGGCCCCAAGGTGCCCTTCAGGCAGGAGGGCGGCTTAGAGGGAGGTGTCATGGCCAGGGAGGCCAGCAGGTGGCGGGAGAGAAGCACTGCTCCTGGGCCAGTCAGCTGGACAGGGTCACTCCCTGTGGGGGAAGCAGTCCTGAGGGGGACACCCGCCAGCCCAGCACAGAGCCCCGGGGAGCTTCTCACCAGTGGCCAGGGAGCTGGAGGGCCCACTGGCTAGGAACAGGGATACGACGTTAGGCGGGCCATCGTGGGCACTGCACTGGGCTGCGGGTGCCTCCGTTTTCCCGCTGATAAAGCAAGGATGATACGTTATATCAGCCAGGCCACAGTGGTACACGACCTATATTCCTAGCTACTCCAGAGGCTGAGGCAGGAAGACCACAAACTGAGGCCAGCCTCAGAAACTTAGGGAGACTGTCTCAAAATTAAAGATAGAAAGGGCTGGGGTGCACTCAGTGGTGGAGCGGCCCTGGGTGCAGTCCCCAGGACCCCAAGCCCACACCAACAGTGGTAACATCAGGGTACACCTCCCTCTGGGTGTGAGAGCAGCAAGTCAGGGTTGTGTTCTCCCTAGTGTGGACCTGAGCACACCAAAAGCTCTCAGTCAGGCCTTGATTGGCAGCTCCCTGAGCCACCATGGGCCTGAGCAGTGCACCTCTCTATCAGCTGACCACGGCAGGCGAGGAGCAAAAGGACTGCCCACAGCCACCCCACGTGCCACCAAGCCAGAGTCACACTTGGGCCGGTCACAGGGCCTCTGCGGCACTCACTGCCAGAGCCTTCCTCCTGGCTCCTGGTGAAGGCCAGCACTGTGGGGCGAGGGCCTCACGCCCTCTCCTGGTGCCTGAGGTCACCGATGGTCATCCCGTTCCTCCAGACTGCGTCCTTGAGACTGGAGCTGTGGGTCATTGGAGTGTATTATAGGGACAACACACTCATCGTAGGAATTTCGGAAAGTGCAAGTCCCTCCAGGAGTTCCTAGTATTGGTGTCAGCCGTCTCGCCTTTTTCCTGTAAGTACCTGGTATGTGTTATCAAAATGAGTTTGGGGCCCAGCACAGCTGGGGAGGCTGAGGCAGGAGGATCGTGAGTCCAAAGCCAGCCTCCTCATTGTAGAAAGGTCCTAAGCAACTTAGCAAGACCCTGTCTGTAAATATTTTTTAAAAGACTGGGGATGTGGCTCAGTGGTTGAGTGCCCCTGGGTTCAATCCCCAGGGGGAAAAAAAAAAAAGAAGAAGAAAAGGAGGAGAAGAGAGAGAGATTGGAACATGTACGCTATCTGTGCCTTGATTTTCCAACCTAGTTTTTTCAGATCAGTTTACCATGTCTTAAATTTTCTTCTGTAACCTTAAATTGAGGTCTATTCAGAGAACACGACCCAGCGCCGAGCGCAGAGCATGGCAGAGAGCAGGTGGCCTTCTGAGGACAGGTGGGGACCGTGGAACAGGAGCCCCGAGGTGTGTGGCTGGAGGCCACATGGTCTGGCCGACCTGGACCCCCACTCACAAGCCATCTGCCCCTCCGGAGGGAGCCAGGCGTGGAGGTCACGCTCCAGCTCCTGGGGTGGTCTCAGAGGAGAGAAGCCAGCAGAGCTGAGAGCACGGCTGGCCCTCGCGGTCATCCAGACCTGCAGCCACAACAGCGGACAGTGCGAGGGACAGAGGAGGCTCCACATGCACTGACGACCCTGCTCTTAGGAGGAAGCCCACACAGGCCATGTGCCACATCCCCCAAGACCTGGCCCTTCTCCTCACTGACCACACTGCCTGCTCCTATCTTGGAAGTGCCAGGGCCTGTAAGGAGGGCAAGGGGCATGTAGAGTGAGATTCCAAGCCAGGAGGAGGCCGCCGGGAGGAGGCCGCCGGGAGGAGGCCCACAGGCCGGGAGGAGGCCCGGGCACACCCACAGTCCTGTCCAGTGGCTCTCGGTGCTGCACACTGTAGTGGCCTGGGGCCCTCAGCCCTGGGAGCACCTGGGCCGGTCACATGGCTCTGCTGATGGCGGGCACCTGGGCGTGGACAGCAGTCGTGTCAAGAGTGCTGTGAACACACTGGTCTCTGGAACACTCCAGGGTCCTGGAGGGCCTGGTGGGACTCCATCAGCAGGGTGCTGTGCACAGGCCCTCCCTGGGGAGCTCACACCAGTGCCCACTGACGGCTGCTGTCAGAACACCAGCAGCAGCCCAGAGGGCCCCAGAGGCCAGCAGGACTGATGTCCAAGACAGTTGTGGTCCTGCCCTGTGCTGCATGCCCATGCCACTGTTGGGCTCCTGCGGGGACCGGGAGGGGTGTCTGCCAGGCCGGGGCTGTCCGCTGGCCCCCGAGCAGGACTGCTCCAGGAATGTGTGTCTCTGGGCACCAGGGGTGTGCGTCTTGTGTGCTGCGTGGCAGGCGGGGGCCTGGGCACCTGGTGGAGTTCAGCAGCATGCCCACGGGCCCACTTTGCACTCGCCTGGTGGCGAGGTCATTGTCGCCTGACGGGCTTCCTGTCTTGCAGATCCTCCAGGCAACGGGTCTGTTCACCGTTGGCCTGTTTTCTCCACCCAGGAAGGCGGGACAGCCTCCATGTGCCATCCATTCCTAGAAAGTCGTGGACTTCTCCTCCCCCAGGGAGCCGCTGAGCTGTCCATCGGGGTCTGTGGGTAGACCTGGCTGTTGTGAATGACAAGTGCCGCCATAAACGCCGTGGGGTGTGGGAGGGAGGCCTGGTTCCGTTCTCCAGGGTGTGGACCCAGGAGGGGAACTTCTAATCTGCCACTGTCCTGTGCTCCTGAGCTCTGGGGCCCAGGATGAGCCTGCAGCTGAAAGCACCTCTGGACTTCTCCCCTTGTCTGGAGCGTTTCTGTGGTGGATGCCTGGCCCTTGAACCCTTGGCTGTGTGGCCTCCAGGAGGGCCTGTTTCCCCGTGGGAGTTTGAAGGCGGAACTCGTCTGAGCAGAGCCCTCTCCTGCTGTCCCTGGTCTCGGGGAAGATGTACTTGAAGGGCTCGCCATGTAGGGCCCTTCCAGAAGGTGCAGCCAGGAGCCAACTGGGTGGACCATGAGGCTCTCCCTCTCAGCAGCAGAGCCTGCCTGGCCTGCGCCTCAGGCTCACATGGAAGGTGCTCTGCCCTCCCCACTCCAGATGGCCCGGAACTCACTATTGAGGAACCGTCATGCAGGACTGAGGGAAGTGAGGTCACAGACACAAAACACCTGCTTGGGGCTTCCTGCAGGTTCACGGTGCTGGGGTTCGCCCTGGTGTTGGTGGCAGTGCCGTGGCCGGCAGCTCCCAGGCACCCGAGCCCCTCCTCATCTCCCACTCAGAGATGCCACCCCGATTCTCCAGAGGTGCGGGGCGAATAACTGGAGGCCAAGCCAGAGAGGTTGGAGGCAGTGTGGGTAGGGGACTCCCTTTACGGAGCACCTGTGGCACTGGAGGCCAGACTTAGCCGCCTCCAGCTCAGGTGGGACACCCCCAGTCACCAGCATGGGACGGTGCCGGTGGTGCCGGTGGGTGCCAGAGCTCTCTCTCCAGCTGTTCTTTATTCCTCTGTGGCATTGAGTCACCTCCATCAGGGAAGGTGGACACCTTCCTCGCCGCCTATGGTCAGTCCTAATGAGAAGCACCTTCAGGCAGATCTTGGCCTGAAGGTGTTCAAAAGTGGCCCCTTTTGGACTTCCAGATGGCCCTGAGCTGGACGGAGGTCAGGACAGTGGGCATGGGGCTTCCTGGCCTAGACTCCATGAAGATTTTAGGTTTGTTTTTAACAGTGATCTCGTGAGTGGATAAAGGTGCGTTCTCGGTACCTCTCACCTGGTGGCACTTGGCACTGCACTCGTGAGCAAGTGGACACTGAGTCTTGGCTGCAGGGGTGCTGAAGGGAGCAGGTGAGGGCCGGGTGTGCGGGGTGCGAGCCACAGGCCTCCCAGTGCCCTGCAGTGGAAGTGCATCCACTGGTGTCCAGCCTCCTCCTGTAGAGTCCTCCACGCCACCACCCACTGGTGTCCAGCCTCCTCCTGTAGAGTCCTCCACGCCACCATCGCCACCCGTCGCTCCTTGGTTTCAGCATGCTGGCGTCTGAGGTCCCTGCTTCTCCTGCCGGGCTGTCTCCTGCTCTCAGCCCTCCTGTCCTTGGAGGCCTCACAGCTGCTGACTGCATGCAGAACACCAGGGAGCTTTGCATGGAGTCACCTCCTCCAGGCAGCCACTTCCCCAGCCATCAGCTCCATCCTGACTCTGGGCCTGATCTTGCTCCCAGGTGGTGGCCCCCTGCGGTGTCCACCACAGTTCCCCCAATCCTGCTGGGGCTGGACCTTTGCTCTAGGTCCATGCAAGGGGTGAGTCCTCTGCTCTGTTCCTGGCCTCTGAGTGGCTACTTTCGGCATGGGCCCAGAGCTGCCCTGGTGCTCCTGCTCCCTGAGCCCTGAATCTGCAGAGCTATGTAGAGGTGACAGGTAAGGAGACCTCAGAGTGGGGTCGCTGGCTCAGAGGTGCAGAGGCAGGGAGGAGAGGGCCGCTGGATTTGGGGAGGAGCCAGGGCAAGTGGCAAGGGGGAGGGGTTGACAGCAGAGGGGGTGGGCAGGGCCTGAGGCTCTCACTGCAGTTGAGGGCTGAGGCTGCGGCCAGGGTGCATGTCAGGCCACACAGAGGCCCCTGCTCACACAGCTGCTGGAGCCCACATCAGGCACCTCCAGGTTCTGTGACTACAGCCCACTGCCACGAAATGTTGCTGGCCAGGTCTGTCCAGCCAGTGTCTGTAGGGCAGCAGGTGGGCAGGAGCTACTCTGTCCCTCTTATTCCTTCTTGGCCCCTTGAAAGGAAGGCAGAAAATCCATGAGCCATCCCCAAGGAGACCAAGGGCCCAGGACTCCCCCGGGCAGTGCTTCCTCTGGGCACACACCGGCAGAGCCTGGCGCCCTCTGTGTGGGGGTGGGCTAGAAAGGCCTGCAGATCTCACACATCCCCACAGCTGGAAGGAGCAGGCGCCGCCATCACCTGCCATCACAGAGAGGCCGAGGAGCATGCTGGCCGTGGCCCGTGGCAGGAAACAGTGCTGCTCCCGGTGCCCACCCTGACAACAGGAAGACCCCAGCACTGCCGGCGCCTGGCCTGTCTGCTGGCCGCCTGTGGTCCCAGGCGCTGCCTGTGTCCTGGCTATGTTGGATGTTTGCAGGCTGGGCCACTCTGGGGAAGGAACCCTGAGGCCCAGCGGTGGAGACAGGCTGAAGGCAGAGCTCAGCTCCCCCGGTGGGGGTGAGGGGGCACAAAATCATGAAATACAAAACACGACTTAGGATGCCTCTAGATTTAGATTTCACCTTTTTCCCCCCACCTTTTGCATTGAAATCAGAGTTGGAGATTGATTCTGACTTGAATGTTAGCTAGCATGCTGGATTTTCCCATACAATTCTGAGACTAGTCAGCACTTCTTTCTTTCTCAGAAGGTGGGCCAAGCTCACCTGGGTGAGGATGTGCTTGCAGCACAGGGAATGTGCAGACTCACTGTGGTGACAGAATCTAAGGACAGTCTGCCTGGCAGGCAGTCCTGGGTCTGCATGGGATGCTCCTGCCCATGGTCTCCAGAAGGCACATGGACTCCTGGTGTGTGTCCTGCTTTACTGGACCAGTCTAAAGACCTCTTTGGACTGCTCAGCCACAATTAGCATGTTAAACGGCAGCAGATTTTCTTGGCTCAAGTAAACCTGACCACYAGAAGAGCAGATTAAGCTTGATGTCAGGTCCAGTCTCCTGCTTTAAAAATCATACAGTTCCCTCCTTCGTCTATCCACATCAGCTTTGCCTCACTTGGCAGACGGTGAGGAGGGAGCCATTCAGCATGACACTCACTGCCCAGGAGTCAGCCACCTACCTGATACCCACGTGTCTCCTGGAACGTCTTCTATGAGGCATTTCTGCTCTCGTTCCCCTGCGTGGAGATAGAAAGCAGCCGAGGGTGGGAGACTGAGACACAGCAGAACCGCCAGCACCTGCATGGCCCTCTCTGTAGCAGAGCGTTCTGTGCCTGGATCAGAGGTACCTGACTGCCTCTTGCCAGCGTGCATTGCCTTGGGTGACCTTGTAAGTAAGATTGATTGCTGTGAGAAGGGACACATGTGTCTGTGCTCAGCCGTGACTCCAGCAAGTCCCAGGGACAAGATAAAAAGGCGCCTGGGACTTCAGGCCTCTCCAAGCTCTGTGCCATCAGCTTCAGTCCCCTGCTCTTCAAAGGTTGGGAAGTGTTCTTTGGGCTGAGAGGCAGTGCCAGGGCCAGGGAGAAGCGCTGGGAGAAGGCGAGTCTAGGCGTCCGGCACCCCGTGGCAGAGAGCCAGGAGCAGGCCTTGGCAACCACCTGAAATAGTCATTTTCTGGTGTTTCCACTGCCTGGCAGAGGCGGGGGAGGGGGACTGAAGGGGCGGCTGGAGTTGAGAGGAGGGAGGAGGCGGGGAGGAGCCTGTGGTGATTCGGGCAGCAGGAGGAGCAGGCTTCTGCAATGAAAGTATTCTGATACTGGAGAGGAGGCAGAACCTCACTGAGGCCTCACGCTGAGGAGGCTGTCTGCTTCCTGTAAGGAAGGGAGAGACATCATCGGGATGGGGCTGGGCTCAGGGGTAGAGTGCTCCTGGCAAGGGTGAAGCCCAGGGTTCTACCACAAACAACAAAAACACAGGCAGAGGAGTGAAATCACTCAGCAGTCAACTAGGTCCTCTTGGTTTTTGCACCTAGTGTCTCCTCTTCTCATTTGAAATACCTGTAGACTCTCAGAAATTTGCAAGAACAGGTCTGTAACCCTGCCTTGCTCTGGGAGTGTCCAGCTACAGCTCCACCAGCCCTTGAAAAGCCACCAGCCACCCTTCACCACCTCCCTGATGATGCCAGGCAGAGCTGAAGACTGCGCACCACTGGCTTCCAGTCCCACAAGAGCAGAGAGGGCCTGAGACTGCTGCCCCACTCCCCCAGTGCAACTTCCTGCATGAATGAGGCAACTCCATAGCTGCATCCAGAAACTGGGTTGTGGCACTGGCACAGGGCAGTGACGTGGCCACAGACCTGAACCGGTGCCACCAGCTTTTACACATGCTACTTTTTAGTGTGTACATGCACTATGTAAGAATGCTTCAATAAGCAACTGCAAACACTCTTGAAACAAGTGGAAAATGCGTGAACTCAGGCTGCAGTAGCTCTGAGTGCCTGGGTCACTGAGCATGGTGAAACAACTTCCTAGGCCCCACTGTGAAAGTAGGGTACCCCACTGGTCTCCTCTCAAAGGAACCTTTTCTTTCCACATTTTAATTCGTGCATTATAGTTATACATAATGATGGAATTTATTGTCACATATTCAATACATGCCCAAAACATAACAATATAATTTGGCCTGTATCACTCCCCAACTCAAAAGAATTTTTATTTTTACACTCTTGAGACTGAGTTGAGTCTTGCCAATTCCTCAGATGCCTTCAAACTATTTCCTATTGTTTCTGAGTAAAGTACTAGGATCACTCTTAAAGAGTGGAGAGAGTCTCTTTAACAACCACCACTTCTTTTTAGCCCCAGTTTTCCACTTACTTTTCTGGCCAAACTGCAAGTTTTTCAAATCTTTTTGCTCTGCTTTTGCTCCTTATGATCACAGTTAATTTTTCTAAAAGCACTACAATATCCCTTCCACTGTCTGAATGCTATGCTGCCTTGACATTTCCACTGCCAGATTAATTAGTTTATTATCTTTAAATTAAGTTTCACAGAAATTCTCAGGGCACAGGTAAGACGTAGACAACATCTTTGTCAGAATATAACACAAATGACCTCTAGTTCATTTCCAATAATCCTCCTCTTCTGAAACCTCATGAGACCAGTCTTTTCTATCCGCTGACCTTTTGGCATTCTGGTCTCAGGAACACCCATCAGAATCACCAATTCACCTTCATTTACAACATTCTAAAGCCATTCCAGCTTGTATCTCTAAACTTCTCAAACCCCCAGCACCAACAACCATCTCCAAAGGCTTCTGGACTACATGGTCAGGTTAGTCACAGCAATGACCCCACTTTTTGGTATCAATTTCTGTTCTAGTTATCTTTTTCATCACTGTGATCAAAAGACCTGACAAGAACAACGTAGAAAAGGGAAGTTTATTTTGGCTCAAGTTTCAGAGGTTCAGTCCATGGCTGACTGTCTCCATAGCTTTAGGCCTGGGGTGAGTCAGAACATCATGGTGGAAGAATGTTGTGGAAGAACTCAAAAAATTAAACAATAAGAAAACAAATAACCCA